GAATCTATTATTGAGAGATGTTGTCCCCCTGACCCCTGACACAGAAGCGACAGAATACAGAGATTCATCGCCTAAACCCTTCAACCCTAAACCCTAAGCCCTAAACCCTAAACTCCTAAAACCCCTACTCCCTAGAATCTGGCTTGATGGTACAGTAGTGGCCTGTGGCCTGGTGGGAGTCGAGACTCAAGGCACTTTAGGACTTAGGCCTTCGGCTAGTGGTTCAGGGTTCAGGGTTTAGGGTTTAGGGTTTAGGGTTTAGGGTTCAGGGTTTAGGGTTTAGGGTTTAGGGCTCAGGGTTTGGCCCGAAATCGTTGACCCCGACCTTCTCGCAGCTTCCCCTCATGAGGCTGCCACACACCAGCTGGCGGCGGAGCAGGACCAGAAGGGTTTAGGGGTTTGGGGTTTAGGGTTTAGGGTTTAGGGTTTAGGGTTGTATGTTCCGCGCCGGGAGCGCGGAGCGGTGGATACGCAGAGTAAACAGGGAACAGGGTTTAGGGGTTTAGGGTTTCAGGGTTTAGGGGTTTAGGGTTTCTAGGTATTAGGGTTCGAGGCTCCGATTGGCGGAAGGTTGCTGCTCCGACTGGCTTCGAGAAACATGCCTTCATCAGGTGCATCCCGACGCGCAGCTGCTCCACATTGCGCTGTGCGGCATAGTGCAACTCATGCAGGAGCACGGGCAGGAACTCTACCTTACACGTCTCCCGGTGGCAGTGGCGGAGCTGCTGTGAGTGGGGCAGGCCTTGGGGCGGAAGAGGCTCATGCGCCAGTGGACTTATCCTCCAAAAAGCTTTGTGATCAAGGGGGTTGCCGACAGGTTTTGAAGTTAAGGGTTTAGGGTTTAGGGTTTAGGGTTTAGGGTTTAGGGTTTAGGGTTTAGGGTTTAGGGTCCAGCTTTGCTTGCAAGGGGCGCGGCAACGGAAGAGCGGTCTTCGGGTCTCGCATGGCACGTAACACGGGACTTGACTCCTGGACTCCTGAACTCGAACCCTTTAGGTGAACCCTGAACCCTGAACCCTAAACCCTAAACCCTAAACCCTAAACCCTAAACCCTAAACCCTGCACCCAATTCCTAAACCCTAAACCCGAAACCCGAAACCCTAAACCCTACTCAGCTCGGACGCCAAGTAGACCTACTTTGAGGTGTGCTCATAGTTTTGCTCAACTTAGGGTTTTTGAAATTTTGAAAATAGGATCCTTGGTAGCCCAGTAACCATATTACAATAAGCGCACCCTTTTTGGGTTGACTACTCTATAAGGGAACCTTGAACCAAAAACAAAGGAAAAAGGATACGACTGGGCTATATACCAGGGGTCTATGTCGTTTCAAGTTTAAGATCAGCGCTTAGGGTTTTGGAGCTTATGAGTTCTAAACGCAAGGTTTAGGGTCTGTATCGTCGCTGAAAGTTTAATTAGGGTTTGGGTTTAATTAGGGTTTGGGTTTTGGAGCTCATGAGATCTCTAAACCCTAAACCCTAAACCCAAAACCTTAAACCCTAAGCCCTAAACCCTAAACCGTTTTGGCCCCCCCCCCCCCCCCCCCCCCCCCCCCCCCCCCCCCCCCCCTTACAGGCAAATGTAGCGCCGGAGAGGCAAGAGTGCTTCTGGCGGCCAAACCTCGCTGCCATAGGTATCCTGCGAGTTCAGGGTTTAGGGTTTAGAGGTATTGGGGCTTAAGGTTTCAAGAGTTTGAGATTCCTTTCCCTGAAAGCTAAAAACCCCAAGCCCTAAACCCTAAACCCGAAAAAGAGTTTGAATGGGAACCCCAGCCCTAGAACGAAGTACCCATGAACCCATGAAAATAAAACCTAAAACCCTATACCCTAAACCCTCAACCCCAAACCCTACACATACCGAAGGCCCAGGCGGCCCCCCTTAGATCAAATGCGTTTATGGTTTAGGGTTTAGCCCTGCGGGTTCAGCCCTACGGGTTCAGTTGCGGGGGTGGTGTTGTATCGTAATTTGCAGGACTTCTTGTTTTTGCGTTGGGAAATAGCAATTCTTGGAAGTATCTTCTCTTGTTAAAGAGGGCCAGGTTCATCGGTGGAGATGAAATGCTACAGTCCGTACAGAAGCTTACTATCTTGCCTGATCGTGGATATTTGTGTTTCATAGAACTACAAGATCATCTTCCACAGCTTTCAAACGCGTGGTTGACATACAGACTTACTGTTGGTTAGTTAGGGAATGAGGGAATGAGGTTCCCTATATCCCCCTATTTTTCCCTTTAATAAGGGATTATATAGGGTTTAGGGTTTAGGGTTTAGGGTTTAGGGTTTAGGGGACAGTATGCAGAAGGTGGCAAGAGCACGTAGGTCCGATGCCTGATTTGTTGGCAGCCGCTTGCACATTCTGCTGGGGCGTTTGTCACGGTGGTTGCTGGAATACAGCTCGTGGAAATCTACAGCCGCGAGTCCAGAAAACGAGCCGAGTCACGACATCTTCGCAGATGATGTAGACGTGCATGCATTGGCCAGTGATGGAACACTCGCAGCCCTAAACCCTAAACCCTAAACCCTATTCTAATTATTCAGGCCTGAGATGTGTTGGAACTTCGGCGTGAAATCGCATGCTCCGGCTTTGCCATGTTCTGCTAGGGTTGAGGGTTTAGGGTTGGGGTTTAGGGTTTAGGGTTTGGGGTTTGGGGTTTGGGGTTTAGGTTTTAGGGTTTAGGCTGAGTAAGTTGGGAATTGCGGTGTAGGGTTGACGGCTGCAGGTAAAAAATCTTGGAGTAGCTACATGGACCCCCCTAGTACCCAAAGGGTCCTAAGTACCTATATGGGAGACACTTGCCCAAGCAATAATCGTAATGCCTATTATAGAAACCCTACTTTCTACTATATAGGTACTTAGGACCCTTTGCTAGGTTGGCCCCTTAAAGCCTCTGAAAAATATTCCTGAATATGATCCTCTTAAACCCAATAAGGGAAAATATAAAATCTCCCAGGGGCCTACCTAGTTTGGGGTATGGGCCCGTAAAGGTGCCCCCCCCCCCCCCCCCTGATAATCCTAATGATCAATCCTAATGATACCCTAGACTTACAACCCACGGGCCGATACTTCAGAACTCTTTGAAGGAGGCAAGGGACCATATTAAGGACCCATATAACAGGGTTTAGGGTTTAGGGTTTAGGAAACGGGATTAAGACTGAGGTTCGTCCTTGTGAAGGAGGAAATGGACCACGATGTCGGCAATCACAGCCTCAAGCTGCTGTCACGAGGTTTTAGCGTTTAGGGTTTAGGGTTTCGGGTTTAGGGTTTCGGGTCGAAGGACACAGGACATGCTGCCAACGGCTCACATGCAGCAAAGCACGGAGAGCCGAGCGAGCCATGTCACTCTAGCCATGCTGAAGAAGAGCTACTTTGCTGCCAAGGCCCTGGCTTAGGGTTAGGGTTTAGGGTTTAGGGTTTAGGGTTTAGGGTTTAGGGTTTAGGGTTTAGGGTTTAGGGTTTAGGGTTTAGGGTTACACCCGAACTCCCCCCCCCCCCCCCCGAATGGACAATGTCAGAAGTGAAGCACACGAGTACAGGAAAAGCACACTCGGAGGTTCAGGGTACTTAGCAACCCATGAGAGGTGTAGGGTTTAGGGTTTAGGAGGGTGTAGGGTGTAGGGGTAGCTTTAACCCACCATATATGCCTTTTTAAAGTACCCTAATAGGGTTATAGTTGGGTTAGAAGTACAGATATAATTGGTTCACGAAGCACTATGAACCTCCAAGCCAGGGTCCATGTCCCTCTATAGTACCTTTAAGGCCCAAATGTATACTATGCGGGTACATGGAATCTTACAGATGCATGCAACATTGTCCGCAGTTGCCAAAGAGTTTCCAAGCGAGACGAAGCCGCGCACTTTTCGCTTGAGAAAGTGGGTGTGCAGATGACGCGTGCGCTCTTGTAGCTGTGCTCCTCGAGTATCGTCAAAAAAACGACAACATTTGGGAAGCTCTCTAAGCTAGGGTTCCTTTTTGGGTCCTTATTCCAAGGGTGCTGTACTATACAGGGGACCCGAAGTAAGGGACCGTAACTCAGAGAACTTCACATTCAAAGAGTTTGAGTTGAAAAGAGTCGCTCTCTTGAGCTCCGCGAAAAACCGAGGTTCCCGTCGGGACCCTGCCCGACCTCCGCCCGCGTAAAGAATGAAAGCTGTGTCAAGAGACGATAGGAGGGACCCTCACAAGGGACCTTGGGGATAATGTTGGGGCGACTTAGGTATACAGGGACTGCAGAAGGTGTGTGTATATATAGACATATATATATATATATATAATAACAACAACAATAATAATAGTTACTGTTATTATTATTACTATTACTATTATTATCATCATTATTATGATTCTCTCTCTCTCTCTATATATATATACATATATATACATATATATATATATATGTGTGTCTGTGTGTAGGGGAATAAGATTGCGGGCCCCCGGTCCCTCCTTCTCTCCCTTAACTGCGTGAAGCTGGGCATTCCTCGCCCCTACACGGACTCCTCCTGATACTAACAGTCCTCAAAAAGGGATTAAACTAGGGGGCGGTAGGGTTTAGGGCTTAGGGCTTAGGGCTTAGGGCTTAGGGGTTAGGGGTTAGGGTTTAGGGTTTAGGGTTTAGGGTTTAGGGTTTAGGGTTTAGGGTTTAGGGTTTAGGGTTTAGGGTTTATAAAGGGTAATCCCTATTAGTCCTTATTCGGGATCACTATGAAGGACTGGTTTGCGGCTCTGGGGCATTGCCCTCCAACATCCCTATGGGGCCAAGACACACAGCCATAGGGAAGGAAAACTTGGCCGATGGGCCATGCCGAACAGTGTTTCGGCTTTAGGGTTTAAGGTTTAAGGTTTAGGGTTTAGGGTTTAGGGTTTAGGGTTTAGGGTTTAGGGTTTAGGGTTTAGGGTCACTGCTGAGTGTATGAGTTATCGGGTTCCTTGTCCATGTTGGTGGGCGTTTGTCTTGGGTGTCCTTTATTCGGGGATACGCGCAATGGAAAGCTCCTACATACGTCGTGTCAGGGCAGCCAGTGGAATTGAAAGCTGAAGTCGTGCCCTGTGTGCTTGATCAAGCAGGTCCAATATGTCATGTAAACCTTAGTAGCCCAGTAACCATATTACAATACGGGCACCCTTTTCTTTGGTTGGTTACTTTAAAAGGTAAACCAGAACCCAAAAAAGAGTAAAGGGTACCACTGGGCTACCAAGAAACAGTGATGGACACGAAGAACCAATAGTCAATCTCCGCAAGGATGGCAGAAGCTGTCAGCTCGACAAAGTTCACCCCCAGCAGCCTCCATGACAACAAAGCTGTCACAGAAAAGATGCCCGCCTGGGTTTAGGGTTTAGGGTTTAGGGTTTAGGGTTTAGGGTTTAGGGTTTAGGGTTTAGGGTTTAGGGTTTAGGGTTTAGATGCCCGCCTCAATGGCTAAGCCGAAAGCATTGCCAGTCATTCCCTGCACCACTTCGTCTTCTGTCTGGCTGGAAATTCCAATGAAGTAGGAACGATTGTTCGTCCACGCATATTGCAGCACCAAGGTAATGAGTATGTAGATCACTGGCGCCAACATTTCCGAAAGCTCGAGCACGGCGACGGGGCCAAGCTTGGCTGAGATGTGATTCAAGAGTGCCGCATCCTCCGGTGAAAGGAATGTCTCGTTTAACTCCTGCTGCGTTTTATCTCGAAGCTGTCCCTGAATTTTCCGAAGTTCTTTCGCAACTCTACGGCAGGAAGCAATCTTCTTCGCCACAGACTGCTTGAGTGCCGCAGGGCTGACCGCTGACATCAATCGCCTCAGCAAGCTCTTCGTAGAGGTCCCAGTTTCCTTGGTTGCTGTGAAACCCCCCAATAAAAGTTTAACTTTTAGCTCCCTTAATATGAAATTAGAGGAACCCTAAACTTGTAAAGTGATAAAGTTGTAGTAAAGTCCCACCTAGTTTCCGGAGCATTGTCAGCATCCAAAGCCGCAAGTGTTTCCTTGGCTGACTTCTGGACCCCTCTGAAAAGTTTAACTGCTAGGGGCTCCTTATTGTAGTCTCTACAAAAACCCAACAAGGTGATAGCCCTAAACCCTAGAGCCTAAACCCTAAACCCCAAACCCCAAGCCCTAAACCCCAAACCCTAAACCCTAAGAAAGCCAAGTTTCAAAAGCCTTCATGACGGACTGGGGTGCCTTTGTTGCTTCAAGCAACACCAGGGTGAGCTCCACACCTGTAGGGTTTAGGGTTTAGGGTTTAGGGTTTGGGGTTAAGGGTTTGGGGTTCGGGGTTTGGGGTTTGGGTTTAGAGTTTAGGGTTTAGGGTTTAGGGTTGAGTTTTAGGGTTTAGGGTTTAGGGTTTGGGGTTTGGGGTTTAGGGTTTAGGGCACCTGTCCCTTTCGCTTCAGCCATGAGCGAAGCTGAGAAGCACAAGCCGACAAAGTTGGGGTGCCACTTGAAGACATTGATCCGATCCTGGGTTGGTTCAGGGTTCAGTGCTTCGTGTTCGAGTTTGGGGTTCAAGGTTTAGGGCTTAGGGTCCCTAAACCCTAAACCCTAAACCCTAATCCCTAAGCCCTAAGCCCTCAACCCTAAACCGTGGACCCTCAAGGTTTAGGGCTTCGGGTTCGGGTTTTTGGGACAAGGTCCGAAAAGGATGTCGGCTGTTGTCAATGTTAAGAAATAGAAAGTACTGCTCACCCGAGTGTCTTGGGACATGGAGAAGAAGCGACCCACCAAGTCTAAACTCTGGCACACACCCTGCACGTATCCGCTGAACACGAAGATGGCTAGGATCTGCTGACCGTACGTGAGCTCCTTGAAGTAGACTGAAGCAATGAGCAGCACTGCAATCATGCCCTGGCATGTGACGATGAAGAAGACAAAGAACTGCAATGCGCGCCGCGAATTCTTGTCTCGAGCCTCCTTCGGTAGCAGCATGTAGGAAAAGAAGGTTGCGGAAAGCACGGCAGGCTGGCAAGAAACAGGGACTGCAAAGGGAATTGGGAAGATGCCTGCAGCATGAAAGGCCAGGTGCGTCAGAAAGCATACGACTGGAGCTGCGCAAGCAGCCCCGGTTACCTTGGCTAACTTCCGAACCCCTCCTAAAAGTTCAACCTTTAGGCTCCTTAGTCCTTATTGTAGTTTCTACAAGAAAAACAAAAGGCCAAAATCCTAAGAGCCAGCCAGGAGAAAGCCAAGTTACGATCTTTTTGACCTCGGACGCCGTTTCTGGCGGCAAGCCGAGCATCTTCCTTGGTTGTGCTTGAAGCCCTTTGAAAATAATTCATGAACAGGTTCCCAAACCCTAAACCCTAAACCCTAAACCCTAAAGTACAACCCAGTTTCACGGCGGGGAGGAGCGCGCCTCGAGCAATGATGAGGTTTGCGATGGGATGGGAGATGGCGTTGAACACCTTAGTAGCCCGGGGGTTTAGGGTTTAGGGTTTAGGGCGAGTAGCCCGGTAACCATATTCATATTAACTTATAATGAAGGCACCCTTTTTGGGGTTGGCTACTTTCGAAGGGAACCTTGAACCAAAGAAGGGTCTAGGGTCTAGGGTCTAGGGTTTAGGGTTTAGGGTTTAGGGTTTAGGGTTTAGTGGAAAAGGGTACCACTAAGCTCCCAAGACGCCCAGTTTTCCCAGAATCCGCTGTTTGGATCCGCAAAGGGTGGCATCACGTAAACTGCAACGATGACGAGAGCCACACACAGGATGAAGCCGAGGCAAATGCAGAAGCTCCCTAGGGTTTGGGGTGTAGGGTTCAGGGTTCAGGGTTTAGGGTTTAGGGTTTAAGGTTTAGGGTTTAAGGTTTAGGGTTTAGGGCTTAGGGTTTAGGGTTTAGGGTTTAGGGTTTGGGGTTTAGGGTTTAGGGTTTAGGGTTTAGGGTTTAGGGTTTAGGGTTTAGGGAACAACCTTGGCAACCCAGTAGCAATGTGATGATAAGGGCACCCTTTTTGGGGGTCGGTTACTTTCTAAGGGAACCTTGAAACAACAGAAGGGAAACAGGGCACCACTGGGCTACCAAGCGACTCTAAGCCCTATAAACCCTAAACCCTAAGCCCTAAACCCTAAACCCTAAGCCCTAAGCCCTAAGCCCTAAACCCTAAACCCTAAACCCTAAACCCTAAGCCCTAAGCCCTAAACCCTAGACCCCAAAACAAAAAACCTACTCCGGGCTACCCAGCGACTCAAGAGCCGACAGATGCCAGACCTTGCATCGCTGCAACGGTGCAGCTGATATTGGGCAATCTCCCCAGAGACCTTGGTGGGTTTAGGGTTTAGGGTTTAGGGTTTAGGGTTTAGGGTTTAGGGTTTAGGGTTTAGGGTTTAGGGTTTAGGGTTTAGGGTTTAGGGTTTACCCTGGCAAAGGGTACCACTGGGCTACCAAGAGACGCTGGTTTTGAAGAGCTTCCACTCCGGCTGCTCCATGTCCTGCTCCGCGAGGTCTGAGGGGTTTAGGGTTTAGGGTTTAGGGTTTAGGGTTTAGGGTTTAGGGTTTAGGGTTCAGGGTTTAGGGTTTAAGGTTTTAGGATCTGCGTCCTGCTCCGTGAGGTCTGTGTCTTTGCAGCTGTCTCGGTCTGGTGACTCTGAGCTATCCAGAAACTGGTCCAGATCAACGGACACCATCGGGTCGCGCCCATCACTACCTTCGATGTTTGTCCTCTCCCAGTCACTCCTGCAGTCGCTCTGGCCATGAGCGGGGTCCATGCCTTTGGCAGATTGGAGCCTCCGGATGAGCTACACAGCACTGCTAGGTGTTCGTGACCTGGGAGCCACCATGCGCTCGAGAAGCAAAACTCCCGAACCCCCCCTGCAAATCTTTAGGGTTCAGGGTTTAGGGTTTAGGGTTTAGGGCTTAGGGCTTAGGGCTTAGGGCTTAGGGCTTGGGGTTTTGGGTTTAGGGCTCATTGACACCCTGTGATTCGAAGACCAGCATAGTTAGAACGGTAACGGCCCTCGCAGTAGGTCAGCCATATACACCCCAAACCTTCATGCGCAGGGACCTCTAGGCCTGAGGCCCTCAGCCCTACATGACTTTAGGGTTTAGGGTTTCGGGTTTAGCGTTTAGGGTTTCGGGTTTAGGGTTAGGGTCTAGCGTTAAGGGTACCAAGACCCCAGCCACGCAGACGAGAAAGTGAATGATGACAATGACGCTCGTGCCTCACCAGCAGCAGTTCGGGGCTTTCAGGGCAGTGACGGTTAGCTGTTCGCATTTTAAGTGGGCATTTCCACAGCCTGTCATCAAGCACTCCGCTTCCAACAAAAACAAAACCCCATGAACCATACTAACTTTTGGCATCTTGCACCGAACTGTAAGCCCGAAACCCTAAGCCCTAAGCCTTAAGCCCTTAGCCCCAAACCCTAAACCCTAAACCTTGAGTTGAAGCTTATGTTACGTGGCTTTATGTTCCATGCATCCTCTGTTGCTTCCTGGAGCCCGGATATTGGACCCACCGTCCATTGGCACGGGCTTAGGCTTTCGTCTCTAGGGCCTCTAGGCTCTAGTACATGTATGGTACAGGGTTGAGGGTCTACAGAAAAAAGTTCCCCAATTCTTGCTGAAGTTTCATGTCAAAAGGCACCATCAGTGCAACGCCCTCCATGAGCATATTTCGCAACAGCGGCAGGCTTTTGGAAGCACCCTAAGCCTAAACCCTATAAACCCTAAAACCCAAAACAAAAACCCTAAACCCTTGCATGGTCGGAACACTATCACCACAAGGGTAGGGCCATATCGGCTCATCGGTGCTTTACTTTCATCTTGCAGCCCGTGCGAAGATAGGGGTTTGGGGTTTAATTAGGGTTTAGGGTTTAGGGCTACCTGTTGCAACACCGCCCAACAAACCCTAAACCCTGCACCCTGGACCCTAAACCCTAAAACCCTAAACCCTAAGCCTACACCCATCCCCCGCGGGCCCGTGTTGACGGAGCAGCTGCAGCAGAATGATCTCAGGGGGCGCAATGTCGGAACGGGCAGCATGCTCTCTTCACCTTTCATCGCTGGGTCAGGATGTAGTGCCATTTGGGGTTTAGGGCTGTAATTATGGCCCAGGGTCCTAATCTCCAAACTCTGATTAAACCCAAAACCTAAAACCCGACAACCCTTAGCCCTGGACGTTAGAGTGGCATAAGGGGTCGAAGGGTATTGGGAATTTGGGCCCCGGAACCATACAACAAAAGGGCCAGCGTTTGGGATCTTTGGTTTCGGGTTTAGGGTTAAGGTTTAGGGTTTAGGGTTTAGGATTTAGGGTTTAGGGTTTAGGGTCCCTGAACTCTAAGACCTAAACCCTACACACCCTAAAGCCCTGAACCCTAACCGTAACCTCACGCCTGAACCCTGCAGGCCCTCTCTTCTTGGGCGCCTTCGAGGTTCGGAGAAGGGTTTAGGGTTTAGGGTTTAGGGTTTAGGGTTTAGGAGGTTTAGGAGGTTTAGGGATTGGAGGACGAGAATGCCAACCCTCCTGTCACGCAAGCAAGGGCCGGGACCATGAGCTCAGAAGGGGGAGTACAATGGGCTTAGGGCTTAGGGTTTGGGGTTTAGGGTTTGGGGTTGGGGTTTGGGGTTTAGGGTTTAGGGTTTAGGGTTTAGGGCTTAGGGTTTAGGGTTTAGCTAGGAACATGGGTGTGCAGCCGCCGCCCTCGCTCCACAAGCATCACGCCCTACGTGAGGCGTCGGAGCTGGCATCACGTGCAGACCTGGCTTGGATTGCCTTCCTTCCAACTTCGCCAGCTTGGAGTAGTGCCATGCTTTCTGTTCTGAAGTCGACAGCCGTTTCAGAGCCTCCGGAGTCGAGATCTCAGCTGCTGCTCGTTTTTGTCTAGGCGGCGTCACGAAGGTGTCTACGTCCGGCGAGGCCGGGTGTTCCTCGACCATTTGTGTCGTGAGTTCGCCGTTATCTCGGCGGCATTGTTCCAGTGCATCAATCATCTCCTGTTGGGTTTGCGGCCCAGACCCTAAACCCTAAACCCTAAACCCTAAGCCCTAAGCCCTAAACCCCTAAACCCTAAACCCAAAACCCAGCTTGCCACTCTTTCTGGACTCGACTCAGGCTCTAGCAGGCGCCGCCCGTGGCTCGACATTGCTTGCTGCACACGAACGTTAGGGTTTAGGGTTTAGGGTTTAGGGTTTAGGGTTTAGGGTTTAGGGTTTAGGGTTTAGGGTTTAGGGTTTAGGGTTTAGGGTTTAGGGTTTAGGGTTTAGGGTTTAGGGAACCTTGTCAGACAGGCAAGCTGCCTACCCCGTGAAGCCCATGTCTCGGCCCGAGCCAAACAACAAACCCCAAACCCCAAAGCCGAAACCTCAATTCCTAAACCCTAAACCCTAAACCCTAAACCCCAAACCCTAAACCCTAAACCCTAGCCCTAAACCCTAAACGCCTACACCCTAAACCCCAAAACCCAAAACCCCAAACCCTAAACCCTAAACCGCTCTTCTTGCGCCAATTCGTGGCTCTGCTGAGGTCTCTTGGATGCCGAGGCCTATAATGGACGAGAGCCTGAACCCTAAACCCTAAACCCTAAACCCTAAACCCTAAACCCTAACCCTAAACCCTAAACCCTAAACCCTAAACCCTAAACCCTAAACCCTAAACCCTAAACCCTAAACCCTAAACCCTAAACCCTAAACCCTAAACCCTAAACCCTAAACCCTAACCCTAAACCCTAAACCCTAAACCTTGAACCCTGAACCCTAATTAGGGAACAACCAAGGGGCCGATCCAACCTTTTGCGCAAGATTTTTGGGATTTGGGGTTTAGGGTTTAGGGTGCCTTGCGGTGCAACTGGGGGCTTTATGGTATAGAGCTCTTGGGGAATTAGGGATTTCAAGCTACAAGGTTACCCCCCAACCCTAAACCCTCAACCCGAAACCCTGAACACGAAACCCTCGGCCTAGGTCGGCCCGCGGGAGCGTAGCGGGGCCAGTGGAACTCGATACCTGGGCCGAGCCAAGCCGCAACGGGGTTAGGGTGTAGGGTTTAGGGCTTAGGGTTTAGGACTAGAGTTTAGGGTTTAGGGCTTGGAAGCCCGGATTGCAGTTGGAAGAAGAACGAGCTGCAGGGAGTTCTATCAAGAGAAGTGCGGGTTCCAAAGTTCTAGGAGCTCTAACAAACTTCGCAATAATCCCTTATGTACGAAGCATTACTTGGAGGTGCATGGTACTCATTAACCAAATGAACTGTACTCCTAACTGTACTTATCACCATATTAGGACACTTCAGGGGCTTATAAGTGCGTGAAAAGTACAGATATAATTGGTTAATAAGCACCATGAACCTCCAAGTAATGCCGCCAGAAAACCCCAACATAACAGCCCTTAGAGCCTTAGGGTAAAGGCCACAAGAGCTCAAACATCTTCAGTCCTAAAAGTTCGGAAGCGCAAGTCTCTACAAAGTTCAAAGAAGCTCTCACATGTCAGGGAGTTCTGCTTCCGTGCCTTCTGCGACACCTTGCTGATCCAGTCCCACAAGTTTGTTTCGAGAATTTCGCTTTGAGGACGTTTCTTCAACTCGTGTCATACACATGTGAGCAACGTTTTTTTTTCTCTATTTCAGTCCAAGACAGGGTTTAGGGTTTAGGGTTTTAGGGATATCGGATTTAGGGTTTAGCGTTTAGGGTTTAGGGTTTTAGGGATTTAGGGTTTAGCGTTTACGGTTTAGGGGTTTAGGGGTTTAGGGGTTTAAGGGTTTAGGGAAGAGGGCAGTCCCAGCGCAGCAGGAGCCCCCAGTGAACGAACCCTGAGCCTTCCTCGTCCCCAACCCCAAACCCCAAACCCTAAACCCTAAACCCTAAACCCCAAACCCTAAAAGAGTGGGGACTAAAGGAGGGACCCCCAAAAAAGTATAGCAATCGTGGGGCTTTACATTGGACTCTCTAGGGTTGTACCCTTGGCTTTGGGGACAGTGAAAGATCCTAAAAGGGAATACCAGGGTTTAGGGTTTAGGGGTTTAGGGTTTAGGGTTTAGGGTTTAGGGTTTAGGGTTTAGGGTTTAGGGTTTAGGGTTTAGGGTTTAGGGTTTAGGGACTAAAGGAGCGACCCTTTTCAGGGACCTTTTGGGGTTCTTTGAGGGTTATTTAGGTGGCTGCTTAACTAGGTATGTAGGGATTATGCAAGGTATATATTCGGGTTATATGGGTCCCTCCCTATACCCCTTGAGTCTAGCAATCAACCACAAAAGCCAAAGCCCTAGTCCCCAAACCCCAAATACAAAGCACTGAGAGCCCCTAAGCCCCCCAAAACCAATAAGACACCCCTACTTCCTAAACCCTAACCCCCCCCCCCCCCCCCCTAAAACCAATCACCCTACAACCGAAACCCGGCATATCCCTAGCCCCGAAACCCTCTTAAGCCCCCAAAGAGCCCCTCTGCCCCGAACCCTAAACCCTCAACCAAGGTTGGACCTGTAAACTATCTTAAGCCTTCATAAGGCCTCAACAAGGTTTAGGGTTGAGGGTTAATGTAGGGTTCAGGGGCGCTAAACCCTAAACCCAAAAACCCTCCTTGCCGCCCAGCCGCCGGATATAAGGAAGGCCCAGGGTTTTGGGTTCTTTTACGGAGCCAACAAGACGGCGGTTTGGTTTTAGGTTTTCGGGTTTAGGGTTCCAGGGTTTAGGGTTTGAAGGGTCGCTGTTGGCAGGGGTTGAGGGTGAAGGTATTAGGGGCTTTGGGGTTTTAGGGCTTTCAGGTTTTAGTAGGGGGTTTCGAGTTT